AACTTTATTTATTGTAGATTAAATCACTCATGTCGGAATTGCCCTCATCTTTTTCTGCTTTTTGGGATTGATGTGTAAACTCATTTTATCCTTGATGTTTGACTTTAGCGTATCCGGAAATTCTGATTTGCTTTCTTTTTTCGCTTTTTGCCCTCATCTTTCCTTGTTACTCTTTGATTCTTGCACGTCTCTTTGTACCTCAGTGATTGAATAGGCAAAGAATATAAAAGACCTCATTCTGTTCACTTTCCAAACCCTGATTCTTCTCTCCTAACAGAGGGTGCCATCTCCTCTTCAGACGAAGCCTCTCCGAGCTCCTCGCCCGAGCAACCGCCGCCACGGCGGAGTTCTTGAGCTCCGTCGCGTTCGACAAAAAAAGGTAGGCGAAGAACTCCCCCACCAGATTCGCAATTCGCCCCCAAATCTGATAGCCCCGTGTGCGTGAAGAACCCCAACTGCGACAAATCGATCGATCTCAGCATCCCCTGTACCGGCCTGAGATAATCCCGAGCGAGAAATCGGTGATCCTCGACACATCGAAAGATCCAGCGCCACCGTGTGAGGGTACCAACCCAGCGCCTTTTGTGCTATTTTTTTTTCAGCTTGTGTGTTGGTGAGGATTTATTTTGTAATGGGTATTTGTTGATATTAAAGGCATTAATTTCGTGGTTTTATCTGTGCTGAGATTTCGATTTTCCACACACGCAGCAGAGTGCAAGCTTCTCTCAATTTTAACTCCCCCCCCCATGATTATATATGTCCTTCATGCTCTCCGGCCATACTTTCACTTCCTGAGATGGTCGTTGCCAAGACCAACTTTTTTTTCCACAACTTCTCCTGTCGTCTCCTGCTGGCCCGTGATACTGAAGAACGTCAGACGGAGTTAAAGCCAACATTATGGAGGTATTCCCTGAGCTATATGTAGCTGGTACGAACTTACCAATCGATGAATATATATTTCTTTCGTCAATTTTGATTTTATTCTATGTCTTTTGTCGAACTTGCAGCAAGATATATTCTTTTTTACTTATGCTCATGTATTCAAAAATGGCCATGTTGACTCAGTCATTTTATGATTTATATATTTTGGTATGAGACTAAAGATCATACTTAACCTTTTCATTTGTGTGTCTTACTACGGTTGAATTGCCATGTCCTTTTCTTTGGTAACCGATGTGCACCTGGTAAGTTCCCGTGAAGCTTGATGGTTATTATTACTCTAAATTTGTTAAAACTCTATTTTTTCAGATGTCGATGATATCATTTAGATTAAAGATAAAATGTTACAGGATGTTGGTAAAAATAATGCAATGTCAAGCTTTTCGCAAATTATATGCGTCGAAGAAAGGAGTCCTCATCTACCTGATGTGTGTAACACTTCTCAGATGGGTTTTGGTAAGAAAATTATTACTTGTTGTAAAATACTAGATGAATATCGTGTCTCAGTTGAAACCTTTGGATAATCTCTTAAAAAATTGCGAATACACCTTCCTGGTATGTAAGCGAAAAAATTGCAAAAGGGGTACCCAAATTTTTTTAATATGAGCCGGTAGTCTGGATCATTTTTGTGGTTAGGCAATTCAGGGGTATTTTTCCAATGTATCCTTTAAGTATATGAGTTTGTATGATGGTTAAGTTATTTTTCTCCTGAAATACCTAACCTCTTTCAAGTATGAGCAAGTCTTCTTCAATGGTCGTTTACACGACTGACCATGAATCTTGTAAAGATATACATTACATAAATACCATTGTCTTAATAAACGCAAGATATTGCTGTTCAGTATGTCTACGTAATAATCATTTGTGTGTGAGGACTCAATAAAAGTTATAATTTTTACGTTTTTTTGTTTGAGTTTCTATAGAAGATTTCGAGCAAATACATATTTTCAACGGAACAAAAAAGTTTCAATGTTAGACTGATTGCAGACTGATTCTCTGCTTTGCTTGAGATTTATTGATATGTTTATTTTTACAAGTCTGATTTTGGTCAATTTGCAAAATAAATTTGCTTTGGGGGTAATATGGAATAATTGATTTGGGCCGAAACAATTTTAATGGCTTCGGCCGCCTAGACATTTTTAGAATAGTGCTATACTGTAATAGAATAAAATTTATTTGAATAAACAAGTTAAATGTTTATTTTACAATGTTAAGTTTCCTCATGAGATGTTGATTGCTTATTAGTTCTTACTTTATAAGATTAACAAGTGGCACTGGGCCCGAAGGAGAGAGTTGTACTTCACATGAATCGGGCCCAGTGCCACCTGTTGCTGCAACAGTTGCTGGCGGCTAAAAGCGGCGGGAGGAGCCTGTCGAGGCGGGCCCAGGCGTTCGAATGCCCGAGATGACCAAGGAGAGCCTTCTGGATGCAATTCTATTTGTGAACGAATTTTCCCTCTAGGCTGATTCGGATCTTTCACTGAGGCAGAAAAAGATCCCGAATTATGCTGCGCAGCTCGTGAGGAAACAGATGAGGGTCGCGTGGCTATTTTGGGAGGCTGCCACTAAGCATGGCGACATTTGTGCGAGGGTGGGCCCAGTGATGGCTGTGGACACGAGTGATGATTCCGATTGGAAGACTGCGAGTGAGAGTGATATGGGAAATGGTGATGGTGAGAAGAAAGGTGAATCGGGTGGTGATGATTTCGTGAGGAAGGAGAGAGGCGGAAGAGCATCAATGAATGAGAGGTACCCTTCGTGTTATTTTTTATGCATTATTTTAGTTGGTGTTGTAATACTTTTTTTCATTCGTTCTTTGTTTTCTTCTCTTTTGTTTCAAGGATTTGGTAGATCGCTTGGCTTATATAAGACTTTGATTACCTTGTGTGACTCTTTTTTTTGGTTTGATGATGATCCTTTAGTTCAGCTTATTTTGATTCGGTTTTTGGTTTGGTTTCTATTGCAATCCTTAAATTAACGAGGAAAAATCTTTGTTATTTGAATACCTCAAAGATGGAGTGGTTGTAGAAGGCTCGTGCCTGGGGCTTTTTTCTACTTCTTGAATTTTTTCTGATAATTGAGCGGATGTATCCGACTCATGTTTTCCTTCGGCATCAGTGCCATTGAGGATCCAATTAGATCATTGTCCTTCGAGAGGTTGTATTTCTTCATTGTTCGTTGGGTTCTGTATCCCTTTTTTGTTAACTTTTTGATGACCAAGGAAAAGTTGATAAGTATAGACCCCTATCTATCATTATTTTGGTCAAATATTACAATTATGTTTGCTTTGCACATTTTTTATTTTTTTTTTTAAAAAAGAATAATTGTGTTGAAGTATTATGAATTCCAGTATTGGTGTAATCTTTCACTTAATTTTACACCCTCTTAAATTAATGGATATTCTCTTGTTGTCATTGTGCAATCTGCCACGCTGCCAACCTGTGGGTTGTTTTCACTTGCCTCTTGACCATGTTAAATTGCATTTTTCTTTATATGCTTAGCACCTTTTTCTTTTTCAAAATTTTATATGATAATTTTATCTGTATTTGTTTGTTTAATTTTCATTACAACTTTATGTGAATTTATATATCACAAAAGGACTTAAAAGAGCTTGCGTAGCTTCATTGAATATGTTGCACTGAGGGAACAGTTTGTCTTGGGAACCAGGATGAGTCGAAGAGTTGCAGCTACTGTAATTTATCCACATCTTATTTCTTTTGTTTATAATTTAACTGAGCTGTTTTCTAGCTTTGTTAGTTTAGAAGGGTATGAGAACGATAAATGTCAATCTGAAATTGATTGTCGAGTGGTGTTGATCTCTTGTTAACAAAATAGAAGCTGGTGCAACAGTTGGAAGCAGTTTTAGATCCTTCATGGCAATACAAAGTTATAGGGGGGCTAATGCCAAAATTCTTGTTGGAGGTGCAATTGTCGATTAAGTGGCTGTGACTACCGGGATATTGATTTTGGGCCTTGACTGAGCAGGGACGTGCCTACGGTCCTGGATTCCAGGAAGATTGGACCTGAGAGACTTTCTTCATTTCACCACCAGATTCCGACGAATATGAAACTGGAATTCATTCTTTTTCTTCGATCCGTTTATGTTTATTAATTTTTTGTGATCTTCCCTATTTTGTTGGTTATCATTTTAGCTTTGTTGGTATTTAAATTTTCATTTTTATTGTTGTTGAACTAGAGTCTCCTATACATGTGTTTAATAAACACCAAATGTTCGCAAGAGTAATAACTAAATTTGGGCCGGTTGTGCGTGCACAGCCGAAAACCATCTAGTATATATATATATATATATATATATATATATATATATATAGTTATTGGCTAATAGCATTTAATTAATTCTCATTTCGATTTCCTTCCAAAAACCGTTACAAACTTTATCCTTTATATATCTATCTATATTTAATTACTAATAATAAATTTAATAATATTGATTATTATTTACCATCTTTTTATGTTACAATCTTCTATTATTATTATTATTATTATTATTATTATTATTTTTATTATTTTATATATATATATAATCACTAGCTGATACATTTAATAAAACATTTAATATAACCTATTTTCATTTCCGTCTAAAAGGAGTTACATTTTTTTAATCAATTAATCACTAATCTGTTAAAACCGTTACACCTTAATATATATATTTTTATTATTTATTTTTTGGATTAGTTACTTAACCTCCTCTTTTGTACCCAAAAAAAAGAAAAAAAAAGTAGTGAGATATAAAGAAGTCTTCAATTATAAATCTAAATTAACATGAAACAAACTTTTTTATTAAAGATTAAATGACCGAAAAAAAATTATCATATTATTAATTTATTATTATCACAAAAGAGAGAAAAAAAAAGGTACCTTAACGACAAAGGATTTGAATGTGTTCAACTAAAGAGTCTTCGTCCACTTTACATTTCTTTCGGCGCAAAATCAGTGTTTGGATGCAAATAATTTCTAATAACTTCAATTTTTAATGAAAATGATGGACATAGGAGAAGGTGCCCGGAAAAAGGTTATAAGCTGAATGCTTATATTATTATATTGGCATATATATGTTTTTGCTACTTAGTCAATTCGAATCTATTGATTTTTTATTCTTTATTTTTTTTTATGTAACATATTGATACGCGAATGGTGTAGAAATAAGTAAAAGGTTGAATATAATGTAGTTGGAACACGGTGAGTTGAGCTCGAGCTCATGATGCTTGAGCTCGATCTTGATTAGTTAACAAGTTTATATTCGAGCTCGACTTGTTTATCAATATTAATGAAATTAGTATGAGTTTTATCGAGCTGGACTATACAAAATTATATGTAGAAATTTTGTTTAGCTTTATCAAATTGCGCTGAATGCAGCTCGTTAATAAACAAGCTTTGAATGAGCTCGTGCTCAACTCGTTTACCAAATGAGCTGAGTCGAATTCGAGCTTTAATGGGCGATCTCACAAATAACTCGTTTCATTTAACAACTTTAGCATATATACTACTATTTTCTTTGAAGACATACGTACTGTGAGAAGCACACCTATTTTTATTTTAAACAAATACAAGACAATCTTTAGCATTTATACTACTAGTTTCTACCTAATCAACATGTAGAGAACCGCTCACTTGTGCCCACCGTGGGCAGAGAAGCGAAATTTTCAACATGTATAATTAAAAGTAATTTTGTCGAATTGTTTTCTTCCTTTTCACTTGTCTATCGTAACCGTACGTGTAATTTTGTTAAACAATTATATTTTAAGTACATTATATTATTTCTATTTTCTAAAATCAATGTCTTGAAATCTTGTTTGACAATCGATCGACCCGGGCGACATCCGGGTCATGGGTCACCGCGATCAATGTTCTTTTTAAACCCATTTCGAAACTGATTGTATTTCTTACGTATTGATTACCAGCCCAGGCCCAAAATAGATATATATTCTATCCAACCCAATTGTTTGCTCAGTATTGGATATCGCATGAAGGCCTAGCCCAAAGAGACAACAACCCAATTATAACACCCTCAAATCGAACAAACACGCCCTTTTCCAAAACCCTAGGAATCAGAACCAGCAGGGAGAGGAAAATGGGGAAGAAGAAGGAGAGGTCGGTGAATGTTTCCGGCAAGCCGAAGCACTCGCTGGATGTCAATCGGAGCAATGGCAAAGCTAAATCCAGCAATGGGCGGAGCGCCGCCACGGTGCGGCGGCTAAAGATGTACCAGACGCGCCCGACGCGCGACGCCAAGGGCAAAATCCTGAAGCACGACTTGCAGTCGAAGGAACTTCCGTCCACTCGGATTATGCCTGATCGCCGCTGGTTTGGTGCGTCATCTAGCTGTTGTCTTCGTTTCATTTCATTTTCTCGGCATCATCCATGGCCATCCAGCTAAATTATGCCAATCTAGTTGAAGTGGGTTTATTTTCTGGCACTTTTTCAAAAAAAAAAAAAAGATATATTTTTCGTTTGTCCAATTAAGGTATAGCAAGCGTAAAAACATTGCGATGGTGAGCTGTGATGATAAGGCGTCTCCAGTTTTTTAATAAGTTTGCTATCTCCAGAAAAATGACTGATTGCTGGTCTTAGCTGAAACCATATATGGTTGTACATAGACTTCTCAAAATTTTATAGACGATGAACATAAAGTGAATTGTGACTTTTTTATTCAGTGGCTTTTTATTCAGTTACTTGTTAACAGTTGAATCATAGCTCTGGGAAGGTCTTGTTTAATTGTTTAGCATTCTATTATACCTTCAAAGTGTCATCATTTATTTGTTGGTTCATTTGTCGTTCATTAAGCTGTTAAATACATTAATTATTTACCCAAGACTGGCTGTAATTATTGTACGGATTATCAGTAGTTTAATGTGTTATGCTAGAAACTCAGGCTTTATTTTCGGTTGGGGTAGATTGGAAACTGAGTTCATACTTGTTTATTTACTTTCACAGGCAACACTCGTGTTGTGAATCAGAAACAGCTAGAGTGTTTCAGGGAGGAGCTTCAAAACCGTATGTCAAGCAGTTACAATGTGATTTTGAAGGAAAGGAAGTTACCCATGTCCCTCTTGAATGATCATCAAAAGGTTTGAAACCCGCAAGTGTATCTGTTATGTGTACATCTTTAATAATTAATAATGATCTGTCTTTCTTGCACATTGTTTGCTGATTTATTGTTTTTTGAAATGCGTTCTAAGCAAGCAAGAGTTCATCTCCTCGACACAGAGCCTTTCTCTGATGCTTTTGGTCCTAAGACAAAGAGGAAAAGACCAAAACTTCTGGCATCTGATTATGAATCATTAGTTAAGAGAGCTGATGGTTCTCAAGGTGAGTTAGTACTTTTCTGGTGTCAGGGTATATTGGATATTGTCTTTTCGGACTTTGGGATGATTCACACAGTTGAGATGATGTATTTCAGAATTCTTTTGGGCAATTTAGAATACATGGTTAATTAATGAAGTTGCAGATTCTTTTGAAGAAAAACATGGTGCTAGTACGTCTGCTGAAGGAGGTGAAGATGGCTTCAGAGATCTTGTTCGGCACACAATGTTCGAAAAGGGGCAAAGTAAACGCATATGGGGAGAGCTTTACAAAGTGATAGACTCTTCAGATGTTGTTGTGCAGGTATATTTTGGCAACCAGGCTCCGGCACGCGGTATCTATTGTTGTTGAATGTCAATTCTTAATGATTTGACTGGTGTGCAAAGTCTTTTGTTTTTTATATATATCTATTTTTCATATGCAATAAATGGCTATTAGCTTAGAATATCTTCTTTTGAACATATTCAACGATGGTGAATACTAACAGATCAAGATGTTTCATGAGAAGTTTCTATAAAAAGTTCAGAACATTTGTTTTTCTATTAATTATTGTGTGACCGCTTTTACCGTTTTTAGGTACCATCACTTCCTCTAATCAGAAGTAATGATTTCATGCTTGAACAAATAATTTAACTATAGGATATTTTACATTTGGATATATGCATTTGTTAGTCTGGAGTTTGATAGTCTCCAACGGAAGTGAATTAGTGGTCTTCTTTGTTTTCCCATTAAAAGAATTTGATTTATGACTTGATGTGACATTTGTGAATATTTTTTTTTTTTTTCACTTCCTGATCACTAGCATTCAATTTTTTGTTTTGTTGATGGCAGGTTCTAGATGCCAGGGATCCCCAAGGTACAAGATGTTACCATTTGGAAAGGCATCTGAAGGAGCACTGCAAGCATAAGCACATGATCCTTCTATTGAACAAGGTCAGTAGCATATATTTGCATATATTTGAGAGCAATATTTGTTTCATTTTTATAGAAAGAAACTTCCTCTAATCATCTGGCTTATGTTGGTATCATTTCCTGACTCTCTCTCGGCAGTGTGATCTCGTTCCAGCTTGGGCAACAAAAGGATGGCTTAGAATTCTGTCAAAGGAATACCCGGCCCTTGCTTTCCATGCAAGCATAAATAAATCATTTGGAAAGGTACACAATTTAATATTGTTAACTGAAGTGATTGGTAAACAAGTAGAGGAGCATGATCCATCTTCTATTTGGAGGAATATTGTGTTGTTTGAATTCTTGATTTAATGCTCTCATATCTAGAATCATAACCTCAAATATGAGGTCCATATTAATCACAAGGTACACATATTGTTAAATGTGGGTTTTCAAATTTTCAGGAAGATATTAAGAAACTACAGGAAAACTTTGTAGGAAGCTATCAAAATGTCTTTTTACAATCAATTCTTTTGCACAGTTTCTGTTTGGAAGAAGTATCTTTACTATTTCTGGCTTTCAATTTTTTTGCCTAAGATTCATTTCCCTTTTTTGTTGCTTTTAGGGTTCTCTTCTCTCAGTATTAAGACAATTTTCCCGTCTGAAAAGTGACAAGCAAGCTATATCTGTGGGATTTGTTGGATATCCAAATGTTGGGAAATCGTCAGTTATCAATACTTTACGTACAAAGAATGTAAGGCTCTCTTTGTAGTTGATCTTCTGATTTCATGTTAACTTTTATTGTTCTTTCTGGATTAGTAAGCTGTTTGATTTTGTAAAATAAGCAGAAAAAAACACGGTTGTGATGTTCTATTATTTGATTCTTTGAATTTTCTATGCAATTATTCTACAAGGAACTACAGTCTTGAGAAGTGGTGACTTGGTAGTTGGTACCCTTATATGCTATTGATTACTAAAAAGTTCAAATGGAAGTTTTTATATTCCTTTACAGACAAGTAGTAGCAGCATTCAAGTCATCGTTTTTAGCAGTAGAAAGGCATGTCTGATTGTAGAGCAATGTTTGGCTTATGTGATATTAGTCACGTGTTAATGACCCTTTTAATTGTAGCTTTGTCGCTTGTCCTGAACTACAACCAGAAAGGATGACATGGTTTTTTTAGATATTGAGGTTTGAATGATATGTTTGAACCTCACGCTTGGCAATTCCTATTAACGGATTGACGTTCATGGTCTTTACTGTGCATGTAAACGTTGATGGAATTTATATGTGAATTTATATGTTGATGTGAGGAACTTGACTAAGGACCACTTTATTTGTTAGATATTGAAGTTTGAATGATGTGTTCGATCATGCTTGGAATTCCCATTACCAGTTTGAGCTTCATAATCTTTACTGTGCATTTAAATGTTGATGGAAAAAAAAACTTGATTTGTTTCCCCTCACATGGTTCACGTGCTCAGTGTTTACGATATGCTCGTGCCAAATTGTCAATGCCTGCCTTTATCTTTTGAGAAACGCCTCTTTTCATTTTTTGATATTTTCCAAGGATATATGGTAACTCATACAATTTATTAATTGAGTTGTGAGTCTTGAGTTCCTGATTTCATCTTACAAATGCCTTTTATGAATAGGTCTGCAAAGTTGCTCCTATTCCTGGGGAGACCAAAGTATGGCAATACATAACACTCACAAAGAGGATCTTTCTGATTGATTGCCCTGGGGTTGTTTATCAAAATAAGGACACTGAAACCGATATTGTCTTGAAGGGAGTGGTATGTAATTCTCATCAGTCATATTTAAATTGCTTACTTGATCCTTATCTTAGGGACTTGCTTACGATCAATGGTTGCTGCTGATGTTGATTGGAGGATTTGCATTATACATCTTATGTTATTAAACAATTATGTTTTGTGAAAAAGAAACATGGAGGAAATGTTACCATATCCAAATTTTGTTTTACCCCTCCACCATTTGTTCTCTTCTGAAATATTAATCAACTATTTGTCCCAGGTTCGAGTGACAAATTTACACGATGCTGCTGAGCATATTGGTGAAGTTCTGAAACGCGTCAAACGGAAGGACCTGTTGAGAGCTTATAAGATTAGCGAGTGGTGAGCTTTTCACTTACGCCATTAGAAATCAGGGAAAAATATAGTGTCAAATTATTTTGCTGGATGATTACTGGTACTATATGTTGAGGTGTAGCCTAATTACTAGTAAACCCAAATACACATCAATGGGTAAATTGTGGTAATCAAACTAATTTGCTGTAAACATATAACTTGTCTGCACATACCATTTTGCATCTTTTCACCAACTGCATTTAGGTTCGTATTTAACCTTGTTCATTTCTGTTCAGGGAGGATGAAAATGATTTCCTCGTTCAGCTATGCAAGTCGAGTGGGAAACTTCTGAAGGTAATCTAATGCTCCACTTATTCGTCTATTCCCCTAAATATCAATAGGCTGGTAACAATAAATTCCTAAGCTGGGCTTTTGCAAAACTGAAAAAAAAAACAATAATTCTCGAATGTGGAAAACTACTCTTCACCTCAAAAGTCAGCCATCACTCCTTAGAAAATGACATTTATTTCTGGTCATAGGGTGGTGAGCCTGACTACATGACTGCTGCAAAGATGATTCTGCACGATTGGCAAAGGGGTAAAATACCCTTTTTCGTGCCCCCACCAAAGCAAGAGGATGATGTTATAACAGAGGAGCCCAGTGAAGAAGGGAAAGATGATGCTACTGATGATGATAAAGCATTAGCCGCAAGAAAAGCTATTGACGACGTTATATCGTCCCAAAAGATAGATGAAATTCCAATTCAAGAGGATCTCTTTAGCGAGCAGGACTTGATTGGTGATGATGATGACTCGAACAAAAATCTCGTGGACACCGAGTCTTAGGGTTTTCTGTTATGGTGCTATTGTTATGCATTTTATTTTTATGGTTTTTTGGTTCCCTTTTTGTATTTGGAGTACTAGTAAACGAATTCAGTGTTTCACAAAGTTTTGGTTCTTTCATTACGATTGTGGAGGTCATAATAATTTCTGGGCCTTTTTTTTTTGGTTGTCTTATTTCAATCAAAACTCAGTTGTCTCCAAACTCAGCTGCAGCTTTTGTAATTATCCATGATTTATACATGAAAACCCAGCGAATTTTAACATTCTCCAGATAATAGCATCTGCACACTTACATCTTTTGCTTGCCTATCTACTTCATTTCAAACTGATGCTTGATATCTTACAAAGGTTTATTACATGGTATAGCTATTAAATCATATTTTCTGGTGACTCCAAGATCACATTTTCGCTTCAAACTACGCTAGCAGTGTGTACAAACACTCCTGCTTTGCAACAATCGGTAGAAGAAAAAGCATTTGAGAACTCACATTCTGTACAAAGCAATAAAAGATCAAACAAAAACAAAATTTTATGTTCCGCATACAAAGAACCAAATGAGTTGCTATAACTTATTACTGAATCAATTCACATGCACGTGATACGCCAAGCAAAGCTCAAAGATCAAATACAACAGCGTAAGAAAAATCTTCATGCTAGTGATAACACGAAAAAGAGCACTCAACGTAAACAGCATGAGCAATTCATAGTTAAAATCAGATTTATTCCCCTCCCTCTGAACCAGATTCAGCAGCCCGCAATGCCTCAGCCATCATTTTTTCTCTATTCTGCATCTGTCTTTCAACTGCTACCATGTAAAGACCTGGTGGATGCAACTCAAAAGGGAATTAAGAAGAAAAGAATACCTCAAAAAAAAAGAAAAAAGGATAAAAATATTATTTTTTCAGAAAAGGGGAAAACATGATTGGAATAACTTGCACTAAGTAATGTATATATGTTTTTTCGGGTAAAGGGATTTCTAGGATTAACCTGGACAAGGAATTCCCGAACCCAAAACTTGGACTTTGGACTCTAAAATTCAAAATTCAAATCCTATATTTACCAAAATGAAGAACACCGTTGGACCAGCAATACAACGAGCACAAAAATCTCAACAGCAGCTTCTTCATGACCTGTGTTATAGCTTTTTTTTTTTTTTTT